TCGCTCGAGACACCGACGTCAAAGTTGCTGCATTGGTGAATAACGGCAGCCTACTGCTTCCACATGCTTAGGTTACATGCAGAGGTCTGCTTTAACGCATGAGCTTGTATGTTTATGAAAAACGTATGTAAAATTGGAATTCATTCCCCTTAAGCTGTGAATTAAACTACTTTAAACAAAGCAAAACAGACCAGATTAGTAAACGCTAAGCAGAACTACACCAAGACTAATAGATCTAAACTAAAATTAAACATAGCTAAACTAAACTAACTGCTAAGATGAACTAAAACTGGCCAAATGTATCGTAAAAATAACCACTGTTAAAAAATTACCTTTGATTTATTGATTACACTCATATAAATTGCAAATTTCCAACAAAACCTCCATGAGTTATGTAGTAGTTATCAAACTCAGTGTTATTAACAAACTTGTTGACGAGATGTAGTTTGAAGGAAAGAAATTGTGAAAGAAAACAACCAACACATTTTAACAGAGAACTCATTTCAATGGCATGTCTTGGAAACTCTCTGACTGGGTCAAAGTTATTTTTTTAAAGCGGCACTCTGAAGGGTTTTCTTAATTTTCACTGTGCCTTTCCGCGAGACATTTTTTCGCAGTGCGGTTGTCCCCCTGAAGTCCCAGAGTCACTGAGGCCGGAGTTTCACAGTGCCGCTCATAAAGAGTTGCCCTGCTTTATGACCCTATTGCTCAACACTGCATGCCTTCAGTGCTTGGATATGATTTGAGATAAGGCAAGAAAGTACCGAAGCAGGTCTTCCTCTCCTCCTTCCTTACGCTGCTCGTTGAGGCAAGTGGCAACGATGGGGAACACGCTGAAGTTTGGTTAGAAAATTGCCGTGACAGTAAATACAGAGTCTACCGAGTGAAATAAAGTGAAGTGTCGTGTCTCATTAGCTGTTGATGTAAGGTGAGAAGTGGAAAAGTATGACTACTTCTTTGGAAGATATCAAAGAAGGTGTGAATCCCTGAGGTGCCCCTTATTGCATACAAGTTTTATAAATCTTTATGATAAGCTGATTACCTTATCCTTGACAGCAGCGCACAGCGAAGGCAGTAAAGGTGCAGGATTACGAGGTGATGGTTCATAAAGGTTCGGCTCAGATAAGATGGTTTGTGGGAGCCAGAGTCAAGACTAGTGAATTTACGTCAGGAGAAACCAGGTTTTGTTATTGCCAATGAGGCGGATTCAGCCACGTATTGTTGCAAAACATCTGAACTTTTGGACCATTGTTTTTCAATTGGGGAATCGGGTTGAGTTTTGCCAGGAGCAAACTTTTATGTGTTCCAGTAGTGCCTCTGCTGACAAGGTCATAAAAATATTGCGGCCCATGAAAGGCAGCCGATCCAACCTTTAACCTGCTCCTCACTTAGTCATGCAGGATGTTTGCTAAGATCTGGTGACTTTAAAACTGGGCATTGTGTACTGCGTGTTTGCATAAGTATATTGTTTTTATGTTTGTTTTTTTCCATCAAGAAAAGAGTTGATCGTTCCTCTTCGGGGGCCTCTACGCTGTTTTCAAAGTCTGACGAGCTGTATGTGTCCATTGTCATGACAACAGTCCCAAGGAAAAGCCTCCCCCACTTATGTTCACCTTTAGAATCTCCAGAATGGCTCTATTAATGAGGCTAATGGCACATGAGCGATACCACACCTGAGTGAAACTGCCTCAGCGGCTTCCTGGTTTGCGGTGCGAGCCTTGGTGGATGCGCCCCATTCAGAGGAAACCAATAGAACAAACTGCTCTCGGGTGCAGCAAAGCAGACCGGGCACCATCATTTATGAACCATATCACCTCTGGGTGCCCTACACGCAAGGACAAAAGCACGCTATCTGCATGCAGACTGTCACGAGGCAACGCTCTCGTGCGTTTTCATCAGTTCACATAACCAGGTCGTTTGTCGTAGTGTTGTGGTTTTCCTTTAGTTTTAGAAAATTCCACTTTTGTAAGATGCAATGTTTCTATTATGCCCTAGATGGAACGTACTTGCTTCTCCTGAGCCAAAGAGCAAATTATTCATTCTTATTTCTCACAGATTACAATTCATCTTTTTATGCATTTTAATTTGTGAACACACAAACTCTGAAGGATTTTCCGTCAGTAATAAAACATAAAATAAAGCGTTTGCCATGTAAATCAAAAGGAGTTTTCACTTACTTAGCATTATGAGCTAAATCAAAGCTTTGCAAAACTGTAATTTGTGTTCAATCAATCGAGCATTCAATTCTAAATGTGGGGAATATTGTGATTTGATAACAATGACTCAATGCAGAAGTAATTCTACTTTTAAGCCTGACTGCTGTAGAAAGCATTGTGAAGCTTTTCACCGACATGTTGCAACAAGAAATCTGCTGTAAAGAGAAATGTTTCCCTCTTGTGGTCAAAATGAGGAAAGGCGTTTCTTCATATATATATACTGTATATGTGTATACATAATATATATTAATCATATTAATCATTTCTTGCTCCCTCACTAACAAGGGCCCTCGTATCTCGTGTCTTTGCGGTTGGGTGATGGATATTCCAGCTATTCTACAGCACCCACAATGTGCATCTTTATATCATTGAACTGAGACAATACAGGCAGATGAAGCGAGGAGGTGTTCTTTCTCGTTTCTCCAATGGTCTCAATAATGATATTTCTTTAGATAAAGAAAGAATGGATGCGTTTTTCCTTTTTTCAACCACTGAACCACAGAAAGAATAAATGTAAAAAAGCATTTCACTCAATGAATGTATTCAAAGTTCATTCCCTCTGACCATAACTTGTACTTCAAACCTAAACCCTGCGTCATCATGGTGGTACACGTCCCATTTGCTTCAATTAACATATAAACGTGGCACCTTTTTTATTATTCAACATCCCTGATGTTTGAGTGTGAGTCATTTGCCTCTTTGTAATGCAGGTGTTAATTCGGCCCGCTGGTCATCACACAGACGGCGATGAGGCGATGAGGCATCTGCGGAGCACAAGCCTTAAACACGTCAATGAGAGTGAGCGAAGCACGAGAGTAAGAAAACAACTGTGTGTTCGGCGCAGTTCAGGTGATGCAAATGTTCTTCAGACCGGGCATGTGAGGGGCCACAGAGGAGTTTGAGAGCACATGGATAAAAATATGTTGCAAAAATATGTTGCAATTGGATCAACCTCAGTCATATCAGTAAAAATACATAATTCTCATCATGTAAAGGATCAAACTTTGTGTTCAAACCATTTCTGCGTTGAGTCCATTGTCTGTGCGGTCCGCATGTGAATGTGCTCTGACCATGAATTACAGGTGCGTGTGGGAAGATAGCTGAGGGCAGGTACGTATGTGTGAGTGTGTGGGGGCCGGGAGGCCGTGCAACACATCAGTCTCTGTGTGAATGAACAAATTCAGAAAAACAGGCTGGATAAATGATTTTATTCCTTATTTATTTCACTCCCCAAAGGAAGGACAGAATGAATCCGAGGACATTAATTGTGTTGAAGGGAATTCTTTTTAGCTTCAAAACCTCATAGATGCTAAGGTGCGTTGCTAAGTCTACAGCGTCTCACTTCACCCACTTTAACCCCAGTCTGTCTCTAGAAATGATTCATTAGTTACTTGTCCTTTAATTTGTCTGCTTCCTCAGCTCTACTGCCTCAGAAAGCTCGTTTCTACAGATTTACACACACCGACATCACATAACTTTAACACAAACTCAACACAACAACAACAACATGACCCTTTACCTGTACAGATGTTTTTGTCCATGAAAAAACAACTGCTGCAACACTGAAGGGTAATAACCTCTCAGATGACGATCATGTATTTTTTAATGAAGAAAAAACATAAACTCTACAATTTGGCCTTTCATTGCATCACATTGAAATGCACACTGTTACATCAGCCCGGATCCTGACACACAATCTCTGGATTGAACCCGAGGTCACACTTCTGTTCCTGTTGACTGCAGCCGTGACGACGCGGGTTTGTAACGACGGCCAAACAGCAGCGGCTGTGTTCACAGCGCCCACTCCACCCGAAATCATCCAAAGAAGCATTTAAACGTGGCTCTGGGTGGCACATTGTTGGACACCACCAGTTTGTGTCACGTTGATGGGATAAGAAATCAAAACCACTATTTCTGCAAGGTTGGGAGGATGCAACTTAGAAGCAAAAAGATTAACGATTGGTCAAAATGTGGCTGATAATTCCCACATATGTGATGATCTGGAGTAAAAGTTGAATTGTTGCAATGTAGCGTTTTATTTTTCAAAATGTTGGGGGCCTTGCAAACGAGATATTGAAGAAAGAATTGTTATGATTTTATTCTACACAGGCTGAGATTTCCTGACTTCTACCCGTTATTTGTGGGTCTAGTATGAGATTCTAATCCTACATTTCCCACAATGCAGCATGAGAGCATTTTTTTTGTTGGAGCCTTCCTGCCGGGTAAATTCCAAAGCCCTGGTTTTGGGCAATGAAAGACTGGGAGGCTTTCTGTCAAAACTCACTATGACAGAGACTTTATAGATTCCTTAAGAATTAAGTATTTTTAATCATTATCACGGGGCAAGCAATTTACATTCAAACCCATAGAGTGCCGCTTCAAGAAATGACTCGTAATATGTGAAATACAGGAATCGAGAGAAAGAAAGTTCCTCCCCCAGAGAGCGGTGAGCAGCCATAAGCGTAACAAACACAACACTGCAGCCACTGATGGTTCGTGAGTGAAGGTCTCACACACGTGTTGCTGTGGACTGTTTTTCACACCAGACCACTGGAGGCCACAGTTATTGGGCGCAAACACGCAGTGAATGCAACAGTACAAACATGCTTTGTGCCCTGCGGCTTTCAAGCGTGAATCCTTAAACCCACGTAGTGTGTGTTCATCTGTTTCCCATCCATTTTGTTCAGTCAGTTCTCCCCGTGTGGATTACTGCTGTGGCTTTCTCTTGTCTATCGTGTAGTCATTTATTTTAGAATCAGCATAAAATGTAACACTTAAGTCAAATCATTGAGGGAGTATTTTTTTTATTGGAAGGATGTGTCTCAAGGTCTGTTTAGAAGATAGCAAAAGCACAGAATAGTAGATTTGAGGAACTACAAGCGGTAGTGGCTTCAATAACATGTTGATGTATTAAAATGTCTCAACATGATACAAGAACTGAATTGAAAACACAAAGAGTTGAGTTCGTGAGAAGTTAGGAAAATCTTTTTTAACAAGTCTACTATCAATAAACTAACTTAACGTGGTGTGTTGCTGCTCTGTATGATTGTAGAAAGTAGCGTCTGTTTAGCAAAAGTTACGTAGACTCACTTTGAAGGACGGATTTCACATTTTGGATCCAAGAGTGACATTAAATCCCTTTCTTGCTGACTAAAACAAAAATGTTGATACCACACATATCTTTACAGTAAATATAAGTTAGTTTCGATAGCCTTGGTCTGCCCAAACATTAAAAAAATGTACCTTCTAGCACCCCATAAGTTAATTAGTTACATTTGTTTTATATCTCTAGTGGTTTGACCATTTTTATGCTAAGCTAACAAGCTGCAGATGCCGGCTTCATATTTACTGAGGAGACATCCAAGTGACATCAATTGCGGAATAACGAGGAAAAAAAGGCCACCCTTTAATAAGTCAACAATTATCTTTTTTTATTTTATCGAGTTTATACGATTTTGGTTCTGTAGCGACCCACTGATTAACTCTAATGAAGTGCAATTGTACTCAAGCCAGTTACAGTTGAGAGCAACGACAGGCACACGTTTTGTGCAAATTGAACAGCATTGGAACGGCTCCTACATATACACAGCAAAAATACATGCCAGAGGAAAACAATACTAAATCGGTTTACATTGACTGATGTCAATCCGAGCTAACACTTGAGATACACATATTACCCATTGTTGGATTATGGGAGTTAGCAACTGAAAACATTGTCTTTACACGCAGAGAAAACATGTGATGTCAACCAACTTGACCCCAAACACTCCTTTATTATCTCTCCAACCTGCCCTCTTAAAGAATGCCAACACTCAACTAATCAGTGTGTCAGAGATACGTCTCCTGCGGGTTGAAAGTACTCTTAAATGTGTTGCATTTCTTGCAGGTTAACGCGTGTAAAAAAATGTTTTAAAAAGACAAAACAATGACTAAAAGTATTACGAGGCACACACGACGACACGAGCATCTGAAACACGCGGGGGCTTGTAGCATCGGAGGAGCCGACTGCGCACGTCTCTAAATCGCCTTCCTGACACTCAGGCCAAAGTCTACATACTCAAAAGTCAAATAAAGGAATTAACTGCGAGGTGAGCTTAGGTTCGGGTTTGATGACAGTTAAATAAATTGTGTGGGCTTTTTTTTATCCTCCAAACATGCAGAAACACAGGATAACAAGAGTGAAATATAGGTAGGCGAGTTGGAAGAGTCTGCTGACCGGTCTGCGGTGTTGTTACTTGGACTTTTCCGGCTCATGCTCTGTGTGTGTGTGTGTGTGTTTATGTGAGAGCTGCGTTCGCTCGGTTGTCCCTCACAGTGAAATCTTAACATCCACAGAAATTATTTCCTGTTGGGAGATTATTTTAAATCCAAATTGAAAACAAAAAAGTGTTTTTGCATTTGCATGTACAGACAACTAAATTCCTTTAAATAAACCAAAAACAGCTTCAATAAACTGAACCCATGCTGTTTGTATATGTGGAAAACAAAGGAAGGCCGTGAAATAACTCATCACGTGGAGACTATTTCGCCCCACTGTTCAACTTCTTTTTCCCCATCACACGTTACAACCATGACAATGGATTGTTGAACTGGTGCACGCGGTACGATTTGAGGTTCTAAACCGACAGATGGAGTCTCATTAGAGGGTCTGGCGATGCCACGTGTGAAGGAAAGCAGATGCACCCCTACATTCTACAGCTTTCCTTTATCATACAATCAAGGGCCACGATGAAATCTTTTACAAACTAGAATTCAACAGCATTAACAAAAACTACTCCAGTTGCATTCCAATGGCAACTATTGAAAAGTAAACTTACTGTAACATACATATTAAATAGTGTATAGTCCATGCAATTGCGCACGGCCGGGTTTGCATCATTATGGTATGTCGTTATTAGTGTATGGGAGACATAAGCCACCAGTGCATTTTCGCATTTCGGTTCAGGGAGACGAAACTCCTCAACACCCGTCGGAGAGACTCCTCAGCCGGACTTGAAGAGCAAGATGGCCACTTGGCCCAAGTAGAAGTAAATGAAATGCTTGGTCTCGTGTGTGACGTAGCTGCCGAAGTTCCTCCCGACGATGCAGTGCCAGGTGGGGTTATACTTCTTGTCAAACTCCTGGGGAAAAGGAAAAATAAAATAAAAATGAGTGTGAAACCAAAACAAGTGGCTGCGATCTAAAAAGTTCTGGTTGAAATAACATGAGGGACGCAGGTACCATTGTGGGATGATGGTTATTTTCATTTAATACGTTACACGTCCCTCCCAATTCCCCACCGCCCCTTTCTTTCTTGGAATATAGGAGGAACCTATTGGGCCTACGAATAAATGAGGGCATCAGGGGGTTTTGAAAAAAGCTAATTTAAATGTAGACTGGAAAATCCAGAATATCTTTGAGGTGTTTTTTATTGCGTGTCCTAGAATCGGACACTCAAACTGTAGAATCTGTCGCCAATAATACAAACACTTGAGTGGAGTGTGTGAGGTGGGGTGTTTGTTTTTGTTTGTTTTTTGGGGGGGGGGGCTTGTAAACTCCTGGTATAGAAAACAACAACAACAACAAAAAACACTGGCTACGGCTGTGATCACACGCGCCTCGTTCTCCACATCGGCACAAAAATAGACCCGGGAATAAAAGCAGCCTCTTGGATGCGCGGCGGATCACGTGATGCAAGCGGCCGTCCTGCCTCACCTTCTTGATGTAGGCAGCGATGTCCTTCTCGATGTTGTACTTCTCCATGGCCTGCGTGGCACAGTCCACCGCGTCCTGCTGCATGTCTTCCGACATGTCGGCGTTCTTGATCACAGCTTTCCTGTCAGTCATGGTGGGAGGCGGAGGAGGAGGTGGAGGAGGAGGATGCCTGCCCGGGGAGGGGAAAGAGGGGGGAGCCCGTTCACTGCACTGGGAATAAAAAACACCGCACGTACAAGGGGCCGATGATGGGGATCGTTTAGGCCCCCCGCGATCATCACAATAAAAATTATCTTTGAAAAAAAAAAAAAAAACATCAATCGTAGCGCAGAAGAACGGGCCGTTTGACGTTTTCCGAACGCGTGCAGTGATTCATCAGCGGAACTTGGGCTCGGGCGCTACATCGAAACGACGGACTTAAGAGCGTTGCATCGACAGCCTGCGAAACTTGATACAGGTGGAGTTCTATTACTTGGCTGAAATCACTTTCCGATAAAAGCGGCTCGTGCATCAGGGGACCAGAAGTATCCAGATGTATCTAATTACTTATGTGCTCGTGCACAAACACACCTGCTCGTATCCATCGGCGAAGCTCGGGCGAAATACAGTAAGACGTAACAGTATAATACATAAATGAGCTCAACATCACGAGAGAATCTGGAAATCAGAAATATGTCATGACATGCAAGTCAATGTTTCGCACAAAAGGGAATCTGCAACTCACCTTATTTTGAGCTGAATGAAACCAGTTTATCTCCAATAAATCCGATGTATGTCAAGCAGCTAGAGGAGGCTTGGACGATGCTGCGGCTAATTGCTTTTTAAAGATTTACCACAATAAGCATGTGAGTAGGTTGTGTCTCTTTTCTGCTGCGCTCCGGCGGCGCCCCGCCCCTTTGCTGCACGCCGCCAGCCGCCATTGGCTGAGCCGCGGCCTCCCCGCGTGTCGCAAGCGTTTTTCTCCAGCTGCGGTCTGCCGGCATCTTATTTCATCCCACAATGCATCAGTAAACAGTGCACACCGCCGACAGGGGGGCTGGAGGGGGAACAAGACGTGGGCCACGCGCAGGTGTCGCTGGCTGTGTGTAGAAGAGGTTGTCGTCACATAAGCGACCCCCTGGGGCTGAGTGCTGAACGGGTGGACTACTGCTGTTGGGGGGGTCATATTAACATCTTTACTAATACTTCATGTATAAATCCACCAAAAAGTATGTATGATAAATATGTTGAAGTTAAATTGTACTTATAATGGTTCTTATCTATAGCCAGTTGTAAATCGGCTTATTGTATGAAATTGCATTTTTGTTTCTTGTTCTGGGTTTGTATCCTTATGGTTGAAATGCAGTTATTGTAAGTCGTTTAGGATAAAAGCGTAAGCTAAATGACAATGAATGCAAGTGTGTGCGGTCGCGCTTTAAAATGATTCCTAGATTGACATTTAAATGAAAACAAATTTAATTATTTTTGTTTGGAAGTATTTTATTGAAAATGCTAAGAGAAAAATCAAGATTAATCAAAATAAAATATACAAACTACTCCCACATGAAACTCCAACCTCCCAAATTTGTATTTCTTTCATACCAGGCATCTACGACTCCATCCTTTGATCCAACTTCCTGGTCCTCAGTTTCGTTTTCTTGTAAAATAAAAGCAATTACCATTGGAAAACTTTAAATAGGCAACGGGGTCCTAATGGGGAAAAAAAAAGAAAGTTGCTCCGGGACTCCTGTTAATTAGCACTGAAATCAAACTTATTTGAATCCTGGAAAACTGATCCCGTTCCGAGCATCCATCCTTGCCTATCCCTTTCCTAATCGATCCACTCATCCAGCGCCAAGGATTGGGATCCACTGAGCCACTCGTCCAATCAAAACCTTGAAATACCAGGAAGAAAACCACAGGCAGACTGTTAGAATAAAATGTTACAATTTGTAGGCCCAATTTTTCCATTTTTGTGCACTCATGTGAATTTTAAGATCGAGAAGGAGAAAAACACCATAGAGCTCAAACACTACAGCTCCCTGAATTTAAAATGTTTAACCAATGACAAGTTAAAAGTGGAACGTCTTTGCAACAAAGTAGTGATTCAGATTGTTTTACATTTGACAGCAAGGATCTTACACTTACATCACAACACTTGATCTAGGACTGCTTATTTTGTCACAAGCCAGAGTAGCAAGTTAAAACTAGTACAGCACATATGGCTTTATTAAATATGACATGCATAATATGGCAACCTATCAAAACGTTCAATTTATGGAATATGAAGCGTACCATTGCCTCGACCTGATTGCTCCTCAATTAGATGTCCTATTCTGACCATACAAATGAAATGTGCTCCACAATGGTTTTTATTCCAAATCACTTTAATCCTTCTCTTCCGATTTCTAAGAGGAAGACACAAGGGTAAAATACAGTTAAGTATTGTGCTCCCTGTCCCAACAGCCCACCGCACGTATCCAATAAGAGATGCTATGTGTGTTGTTTTTTAAAAAAAATTATTTCAACACTTGCAAAAACATTGAGTGCAGCATATAACAACTCAACATTTTTGAATCTCCACACAGCACATTTCTTAATGTTGCAGAAACTGAGAGGACAGAGAAAAACAAAAAAGGACAAAGCAGCTGGAGAGGGTTGGGAAGAGGATAAAAGAAGAGGAAGAAGAGGGATGTGAGGGGAGGGGGGGGGGGGGGTACAGCTACATACCAAGATCAGTCACAAGGACATCGGGACATGAAATGCGAACGAATTCAGATCAATTGCCGACATCTGAAGGAACAAAAAAAAGCGGGTAAAAACCGCAGAGTACATCAAAACACCGAGGGGGGGGGGGGTAGAAAGGTTTAAGAGCGAGAGCGGCTGTGGCGCGGCGAGTAGCGGGGCGACCCTCTACCGCGGCAATGGGAGTTGCTGCGGCTGCGGCTGGCGCTGTGACTTCGGCTCCTGCTCCTGCTTCCGCGGCTGGGGGAGCGGGATCTTCCGTAACTTGGGCTGCGGGGGCCGTCTAATTTCAGCACGATCGTAAGCGTTCTCTTCCTGGCGGACACAAGAGAACTTGACATTGAAAAGGCAAAACCCCGTCCTCTGGTCCTCTGGTGGAACTACCACGGATGGAAACAAGCGCCAGGTGTGCGTCAAACATGTGGCATTTCTTGTGGTACTCACCTGGACCCAGAAACCCTATCCGTGAGAATGAAACCAAATCAGTGCACATACCTCATGCGAGCGGAATTTGGTGTTGTCCAGCTTTCGTACGGCATAGGTCATGTCTTCTTTGCGCACAAATTCTACTACCCCGGTTCCATCTCTAAAAACGTCGGCGTAGCAGACGTCGCCCGCTTCACGCATGTGGTCTTTCAGGTCCTGCCAGCTGCCGCTCTGAGGGAGTCCTGAAACATCCAAACGTCACGTTAGCCCCCGTTCACACATTGTAACAGAACGTCAACAGCACTGTGATTAATTCAAACCGGGGGAAAAAACAACACAGGTCAATACCGGTTCAGCTTGAAGACATAGTTTGTTAACACTAACCCTATGTGAGCTTCATTATAACGTAATATTTATAAAATGCAGCAGAGCACCATGTGTTATACTGTGGCTAAATGTGTTAAAACACATAATAACTTGTGCATATTTATGACATTCCAGATTTAGATTTTCTACACGTTATTTTTATTCCATGTGCATTCTCATGTTTGGCATCCTCGTGGCAGCTAGTGGGGAACATTGTCAGCTAGAAACGTAAACAAAAAATGTGTTGTTTCTGACGGTCTTGATCATTACGTAGCTTGGTACTTGGTAAACTAAAGCCATGTTCATTATAATAAGTTCAGTTTTGTACAGTAGGCTAACTTTTTACAGCAGTGAGAGTAGGATGTATGTCCACACTAGAGTCCACGCCGCCTCAATTATTTGCGGCTGTTGGAGTCCATCAAAAGCGTGAGTTGGGCGACTTGGTAATTACTGCAAATGAAAGCCTGTTCAATAAAACCATTTAAAAGATGTATGGAATGCAGAACATTGTATTCTAAATGTTTGCTTGCATATCTGCTTATTACAAAACATTTGGTTTTGTCATATGACAAGGTAACCGCAGTTAATTACCCCAAATTGGCAGTTTATTTTCGTTAATTCTTATGGAAATTGAATATTCCCAGGAATTTTGCACCCCTAGGCAAGGGATTGTTTGAGTTCCAAGATACTGTGGCTAAGTCTTATTTCTGGTATCATATCAGCACTAAAGCATTTTGAAAATAAACACCAACATCGCAACTAGCACACAGGTAACATGTGAATAACTCAATCACGTGAACATTGTATGTATAAAACTTCATGTGATGGAGTAAAAGGTGTTTAATATATCCCTACTTCTGCATAGATTGGTATGTATGATTCATCCATAGTTTCCCAGATGTAGAACACACAAACTGGAGCTCAACGTTTGACCAAAGTTTGCGGGTGATCCAAGCACGAATGAATGGCACAGACATCCGTGACTCCTCTGTGCATTGGCCATTTAAACGACCTACCCGACACGATGACCCTGTACTCGGAGCGTCTGGACGGAGGCCCGTATCGCCCTCTGGGAGCCCCACCGATCCCCCCGAAGCCACCTCTCGAGCCTCTGCCGCTTCGGGGAAACTCCACGCGCAGCCGGTAGCCGTCGTAGTCGTAACCGTCTCGCCCATAGACCGCGTCATCCGCGTCCCTGGTGACGAAGCGGCAGGTTGAACGCAAACACGTGGATGGCGGACAGTTAAGTTTGACACACATCACATACTTAACGTTAGACAAAATGCAGTGACGGACGGGGGTCAGCCATGCTAGCGGCTAACGTTAGCTCGGTCCAGTCTACGGTTGCTAATCCGCCGTGCAGACGTCCACGGCAATACAGTCATTTTGCCTCCGTTTGTGCTAAGACAAAAAACAGTGTTATTTGTTATTCGTTCGCCAAGAAAGCGCTCTTGCATTAAACACTACGGAGTTAAGCTTGGTGTAACTTTATGAGGAAATTGGCTAACCAACTAACGTTAGCAAGGAAGTATGTTGAGTCTGAGTTTTGCTTTATGGGTAACGTTATATCATTTAGGACGCAGTGCAAACAAGGGCAACGAGGAAACACATAACTAACTGAAAACCGGAACAGCAAACACACCGTTAGGTGGACACGGCTACAGCGACTCCAGGGAGTAGTCTGAGCCTGCGTTAGCACACATTTGTTAGCCACACAATGGGCTAGCACCTCACCTGGGATCCTCGAATTCAATGAAGGCGAAAGGGGGCCCGCCCCGCCGGTTCTTCAGATCGATATCTCGTATCGCCCCGTATTTGTAGAACACGTCCTCCACGTCTTTTGTGCGAATATCAGGGGGGAGATTTCCAACATAGATCCGGCAGTCGTTGTTGCCGGCGGGGCCTCGCACAACACCCGACATGGCAGCGCGCGGTCGCTCGCTAACTTCACCGTAACGGTTTACTTGTTTTGCCCTACCGGAGATCCCGCGGGGTCTGCGCGGCCACGCGGTGATTATACTCCGAGCAGCAGCACGTTGGTTTTCTGTCTTCGAGCAGATATCGAGGGCGCCGTTTCGCTCCGCAATCCGAAGATGGTGTTAAGTGGGGCGACAGTAATCTCAACGAGGCGCCCGCTGCTCCTGTTCCTCCTCAGGACCCGCGCGCCTCCACAGAAGCGCTCGTGAATACCGGAAACGGCGCGGACGCGTCCGCAATACGAAATAGTCCGCGAAAAGGATCCCGGGTAAAGATGCACGTTAATCTAGTAACGAAACATGTGACTAGTTAAATGAAAGTCCATTTCAACTATTATTGTATTAATTTGTTCAAAAACTGAGAGAGTGCACGTTGATCAGGTTTGCGGAGAAATGATGTTTGTTATACTGTCCTTGGACAGAGATAATCGAGATATAGAGAGGACAAACGAGACAATGTGTTTTAAGACAAATACGGGCCTACCTGTTCTCAATAATTATCCTTAGTACAATATTTAATTACACGTTGTGATCTGGCTAAGCAATTAAGACTATTGCTGACTTTTCTCTTTATCCTCAGTAAATCTATGCCCCATAAGTATTGCCTAGTCTTAATTACAACCACATAAAATGTATATGTAAAATGTATTTATTATTTGGAAAACTCCCTTCAGGTTGTTACAAATATAATGCAAATATATACTGTAGGTATAATCTATAGATAATGTCATCTAAACATATCAGCCTGAACCACATCCCAATCCTGCATGTTACGGTTTATTAGTGGAGTTTAAGTCAATAATTATTGTACATATATACACCCCTTTATTACAATAGGTGCATCAGCTATCTTATTGCTAAGTTCTACCAAACTAAGCATAGTGGTAAATTGATTATGAGTCACTATACAAAAAGTGTAAAAAGAAATCAGGACCGCTGGATGGTATTAGGTATGTACAGACCATGAGATCGACAGGCAAAAACTGTTTTACAATACCTGAATTTGAAGTTTACTGTGTGAAATTACTCCTTACATTCCTGTTACCACATCCCTCTGGTATGAGCAGGACTGTAGTGGAGGGTAAACGCACGTAAACGCCGTTTACGCACCTCTGGAATTTTGGAAATAGCGTTTACGCACCTATAAATAGCGTTTACGCACCTATAAGTGGCGTTTACGCACCTCAAAGTTCCCTGCGCCTTATATTCTTCCGTTGGAATAATCCAAAATAAACCTGGTGTAATTTTAAAACAGCTAAGACTACGTTTCCTATTGTTGAACATATAAAGGCCGTAGGCTGAATCATTTTCATCTGCGCTGTATTATGGTCTGGATCCAACACATACACGTTGTGGTCAGCCCAGTGATCAGCCCAGTGGTCCCCAACCTTTCTTACCTCACGGACCGGTTTCATGTCAGACAATATTTCGCGGACCGGTCGAGAAGGTCTCCGACGGGGGGGGGGGTGTAGAAGTCGTTGCGGGCGGAACGACCGACGGGGGGGGGGGGGGGTTCTTGTTCCCTGTGCCTGCACGCGAAAAGGACGAGGGAGGGAAAAGCGCAGAAACACCCGTTACCCCCCTCTGAGAATATGGAAAAAGGGTTACACACCTCCTAAAAGCGGTTAACCCCCTCTAAATGGCGGTTACGCACCTCAAAGTTCCCTGCGCCTTGTATTCTTCCGTTGGAATAATCCGAAATAAACTTGGTGTAATTTTAAAACAGCTAACTACGTTTCCTATTGTTGAACATATAAACGCCATAGTCGCGCGCTCTGTGTTCGCTGGTCGTGCACGGTGAAAGGACAAGACAAACGCCTGCTGACGCATAGATTAGAAAACAAGTCAGTTCTCAATGTGAAAAAAAACATGCTGTATAGGCTATTTATGATGACATAGGTAGTACATGAGTGTTTTCCTTTAACTTATGTTGTCAGTGTAATTGACAGGCTGCTTAACTGGTTAACTATTAAATTCAACATCATTTTCCAGGCAGTGATAGGACAGGCAATGATGCAGAGAGCACAGGGAGAGGAGAAAAACCAGGTCGAATAGAGAGAGGAGAAGCACAGAGGAGCCATGAACCCCAGAACACGTGTTCTGGGGTTCATGGCTCCTCTGTGCAAGGCAGGACCTGACGTGGAGGACAAGGAGGCCCTCTGGGCACTACTGTAAAAAGGAGACTGCATATGTAGATAGTTCTTAATCTGCAATTGTCTTGTTGTGTTGTGTTGACATACTTTTCTTTACTGTTTTCTTAAATTTAATAAACTACTAGCACATTTATTCATTGTCATTGATTGTATATGACTTTTACTGATAACATAATGCAATATAGCCAGGACAGCTTTACAGAGTCGCGACGCTTTGTGTTGCGTTGCTTCACATCGCGTCGAGGTCTGTATGATCACAAAAGTCAGAGTTTACCCACCTCTAATTTTACCACTACAGCACTGGGTATGAGAAATAATAACACAATCACATCATTGTTTTTCTGCTCTACTCTACTTTGTTTTATCTCTCTCTCTCTCTCTCTCTCTCTCTCTCTCTCTCTACTCACCCTGGTTTACTGCATCTCCACAGATTACAACCATCCACTCTTTGGTATTTACAAGAAGTACAAGAAACACAGCGGTGTGCACCACACCATGTGATAGTTGGTCCGTTGCCAGTGAGGTTTAACACATTTTAAACAACATTGGATTCATGTAAAACAAAACGCCCACAACAGACTGAACCTGAACACTGTTTTATTTATTGAATGCTTACATACAATCAAACTACTACATAAAATTTAGAATGAAAACAGGCACAAAACCCCATCGTGTAGTTCATTTCTGCAGCATAGATTGTACTTTCTACCAGGGCACTTCAGAGACAGATTAGCTTAGATATTTCCATGTGATATCCAATTTAATAACTAACAACTGCTCCGTGTGTGATAATCGCAAGATTTTAAAGCTTTAGTTTTGGCAGTGTCACAAAAGCATGTCCATTCGTAAAGCAAACATCCGGCGTGCATGCAAAAAAAATATCCATGTCCTGCTGATCATGAGTGTCAGAGCTCTGAAATAACGTCTTATCTACATTACAATTCCTCTCCTTTGTTATGACAGAAACGCGGCCTCTCTGACGACTCAGTATGCATGACAGGAGCCGTAGCTGCGCTGGCCAGACTCGCCATAATTATCTCCGCCGTTGTACTTCCCTTGACAGGCCAGACTGTTCGCCTGTGAACAGAGAAGTCATTAAACAAGCAAATAAACAGAGAACAGGAGACGAGCACCGGGCGACAAGAGGTGGAGGTACCTCTGCTCTCTTGATGAACTGCTCGGTGGCGGCTTTCTCGTTCTCCTTGTGTCCTCTCCACGCTCTGAGTGCAGACGCTTGCAGGGCTCGGCCGAAGGAGAACGTCAGGACCCAGGGTTTGACCAGAGGGCAGTTGTTGATGGCATTGAGGTGGACAGAGGCCTCCTCTTCGCTCTGACCGCCCGAGAGAAAAGCCACTCCTATGCGTGAACAAAAGGCTCTCGTTTTACTTTCGCTCTGTTGCCGCAAAACTCCAAACAAATCTCTGTAAAAATCCTCTCCAGACGCGACAGCGCCCTGGGTCACCTGTGACCGCCGGGGGAACAGTGCGGCGCAGGGTGGTGACGGTCGCCATGGCAACCTCCTCCGGAGTGTATTTAGTGGGGCAGCTGTGTCCGGCGGTGACCATGTTGGGTTTGAGCAGAGTGCCCTCCAGGTACACATGGTGGTCCGACATGGCCTTGTACACTGCAGCCAGGACCTGCAATTCACACATTGGTTCACCAAAGGGAGCGCGAGCAGCTACTTCCCTTCCTCCTTTCAAGTAACAACGTCACACACACAGCTGCATGCACTATGTAAGCAGAGAGACACCTTCTCAGTGATGTACTGGCTGCGCTTCAGGTCATGATCTCCGTCAGGCAAAATCTCCGGCTCGATGATGGGCACAATGCCGTGCTGACAGAGAAAAGGAAAGATTATTAGAGCAACACAGATGCATCCTAAACCTGTATAGGCGTAGTTTACATGGTTGGGTAGTGACCTGCTGGCAGATGCTGGAGTAGCGCGCGAGAACATTCGCATTTTCTGTAATAGCCAGTTTAGACGGATTGGTGTCGCTGATTTTAAGCACACAGCGCCACTTTGCAAAGACAGCTCCATCCTTTTTGTACTGCGCTATGCGCTCCGACAGTCCGTCCAGACCTGTGAGGTTTAGAAAAGAGCTACAGTTTGTCTCGTAACATGCATTCCTCCGGGGGGGGAAGTGAGTGATAGCGGCTGCACACCAAAACCGTTTTTTTGTCTGACCCTGTGTGGTGGTTTCTCCACTAGTTCCTGCCAGGGGGACGACACCCTTGTCAACCTGTGGAATGAGGCATGAAGACGCGGGTTACATTATCACAGAAACATCATCAGAATCATCAGAAACCGTTGCCGCGCCGATACACAATCGATCACATTTCCACACAGGTCGTTACGATTGTGTGACATTCACACAATTTGGAACTAAAATGGCACACCTTGACGCCGACCATGATGCCCCTCTCCCTGATCATTTTGACAAAGAGGACGCCGTTGTCAGTCTGCTGGTACAGCGTCTCGTGGAAGAAGATGACCCCTCCGATGCAGCCGTTGATGCGATCGTCTGCGCTGAAGAGAATCTGCCGGTACTGTCTGCGGTTCTCCTCCGTGTTCTCCACCCCGACCTGGGCCAGGCGCTTGGCTATGCTGCCTGCAGGTGACATATAAATATATATGTATTTGAATGTTGATATCCATTGATATCAATCACAGAACTGACTGTTGCTGGCAACATTAATGGCATGCATTAACTCTACAGTTAAAATATAAGAACGAGTGCTACAGACCCACAGATTCATCTGCAGCCAAGATGCCCTTCCCTGGAGAAACTATGCGTAGAGCGGTCTCATGCAGCTCCCTCTTCTGCGCCTCGGAGAGTGTCGGGGACTGGTGAGTCATCACGAGTGACTGGTTGTCCTGCGGCCTTCAGAAGTTGATGTGTATTAATTATTCGGACGTAAATGACCAAAGAGTACTATTACACACCCATGAAGTTTGATAAGATGGAAATTGACCAATCATCCACATTAGTTACTCTTCTGCTCAAGAGAGGAGCAACGTATGGATGTATGATGTTGTGAAAGCAGTCCATATCTGTGTTTTCTCAACTGGGTTTTAATGAGCGCTTTAAAGATGTTCAAAACAATGTTACAGTAACTTTTGTGGCCGCAATTACTTGATAAACAAAGCAAAATATGGATCACTTTAACATACTATAATTATACATCCAAGGAACTAAACCACTCATGAAATATCACAAGTATTAAGATAATGCATGTTGAAGAAAAATGGACTAAAATGTTTTCTTATGGTGGATAAAGTTTAAATCTTTGAACCTTTAGGTATAACTTTTGATATTATATTTCTGATATTCCCCCCTTGTAATATACACTGACTTTCTAACAAGTGCAAGTTTAAAGTTAACAGCTTGAAGCAAGTGCAAAGAGATTTACTCCCTAGTGTCAGAGGTTAAACCCAGAATTAAAAAGTAACCTTACCTGAAATCAGAAATCAACGGTGTCTTGTCCAGTGAAGCGATGAACACTAACTGGAGACCCTCAGTCAGCTCTGGTTTGTATGCAGCTCAAGTATGTCACACGTCATCGGCTGACGCCGCTGGGCGGCGCTTGAAGACCCGCCTCTGCCCCATATTCATTTAAAGGGTTTTGATGAGTCATTGTTTTATTTAAATAAAGATTCCTGCCATGGCGTTATTTTATGCGGATGGTTCCACTTGAGCATTTCTTCAGTCAGACAATGTCAATCTACTACTTGCATTGCTGGTGTACATATCGATAATTATTTTTTAGTATATTGCATATTGGCTGATTGTAGACGTAATGTACTCTTGTCAGACCCGCCTCCCCTATAGAAGGATCATTTAAGCGTTTGACCATGCCGCGTGATGTGCTATTTTTAATGCAATTAGTAAAAATGTGCCCAGAGGAAGATTTCAAGTCTCCTGATAATTTGGTCTTCATCCTTCGAATCGTCTGGGGCGTTTCAGTCTCAGAGCAATCCCTGCACTCTGTAACTTTTCTACGTGAGCTTTAAACTGTAAAGAATGTGATGGAACAGCTTCCGAAATAGAAATCATTTTCAGGTTCCAGTCAATGTAAATGAACATGGTGATATGACCCAAATTATACCCAAATGAGGCCAACTACATCGATCCCACTTTGATGAAGGAATCTTTTAGTTTGTCCTCTATTTATCAAACAAACTATTTTTTGCAATTTTAGAGTGTATCAGACCATGTTTATTTTCAAAGTGCAACACGGAGAAAGAAGATGATGTGATGACAATTACATGAATTACTATATTTGTGCATTATTGCAGTGCAAGCTGTGCTCAGGAAACTCCATGCGTTCTGCTCTGTGTTCAAGGGAGTTCGACTCCCAGGGACGACTTGCCTCCATTTTCAGGGGACGTCTCTTCCTCATTGTGGGTCAGTGTGCCTCGGAAACGGGATGTGGGTCACTGGACTGCCTGGCACTCTACAGCCACAACACAGCCTTGGTGGACCTGTCTAAGACAAGGGCCTGAGAGGGAATTCAATGTCAGGAGGCAGTGGGAGGAGGCGCCGGTGCTCCCTTTCAGGGAGAAACAAGGTTTAAATAGATACAGGATTTATATAGCAATTATACGTGGCTGTCTCCTGCGGGGCTCTGGATATTTTTTCTCTGTTACCTAATTAAAAATATTTAATGATGATACTTTATCTGGTGCTCAATTTTCTCTCCTATTAAGGTTGTCCTCCATGGGTTTTTGAGCGCTCCGCTAAATAGGTCGAGGCAAGGCTGAAAGTTGGCCACAATGTACGAAGGTGTGACATTAACAGGAGAACTGGTTTAGAATTAGACACTCGTTATGTTTCGCTCCAGTGTCAAACAGCAAATAGCACAGAAGTTAATGATTGAGTCACTGATCCTGCAGAAACATTTAACAACCACCACCATCAGGAAGTTGTTCCTTTTAAGTTTGATTGTGTGAAGTGTAATATTTTATACACAAAGAAAGGGAAGGCCTTATTATTATTTTGATAATCTTGCCCATATTCTTCTTAAATTTGCTTAAACTCCATACAACATCCACTTAACAGGCGTTCTGGGGATTTTGATGTGATTGTACAATCTTATCAAGTCAATTTCTGCAGCCCAATATTGAAAAATGTCCATCCATCCATCCATTGTCAAACCTGCACACAGGGTCGCGGGGGGCTGGAGTCCATCCCAGTCAACTTCGGGCGATAGACTGGACTGGTCACCAGCCAATCGCAGGGCCAACACAGAGACATTCAACCATTCCTATTCACACATCTACGGGCAATTTAAAGTCCCCAATTAACCTGATCCCCAGAGCATGTCTTTGGACTGTGGGAGGAAGCCTATTGAAAAATGTAAAATGTGAAATCTGTTCAGCCTACAACACGCCGTCCTTAGGCCCTCGACCCGGATAAGTCCCACTAAAGAACGGTATATTAAAAAAAAAGAATAATTTAACGCAAAAGTTGTCACAAAATTGGCAACTAAATATAATCTGTCTTGAGATTGTTTTGTTTACTGCTGTTTTCAGAGTCTAAAGACTAAAGCCACTGTGGCATGTCACTTTTGAGTCCGCATGGGCAAGAACTCTTAAAAGTGTTCAGAGAACTAAAGCTGAAACGTTATGGGACTTTTATAACATGACAGCAGGTAATCACATGTACTAGTGATATGTATATCTGCGAGATTCTTTGGAAAAAAAGCTAGGAAGTGGACCTTGAGTCCATCTTTTAACAGAAGTTTAGGGAAATGTAGAATGTAGATAGAATCTCCCTGTACAAGAAAAATACATTTTTTATGGTAAAACTCAAATGACACACATATGAAGATTTAAATGGGGAGGGTACCGAGGAAAGCAAAGTGTTAAATGAAACCCAAATACATAGACTTATTTTTGGTGATAAGATGTTATTCAAACAATGAATATTAAATTCATGTGAGAGGGGAAAATCGAAGATGTATAGAGCTCAAAGGAAGACAAAATGTTTGCTTTTACAAGTTGAAATATGAAGTTGAAGCTCTAAAGCATTTCATAGAACTCCAACACTGTAAATAAACCCACAATGATACTAGCAGCATAAAATGTATCACACAACGTTCTTCAATTCTTAAACACTGACCCATAAGATCACCAGTTGAACTTTAAAAGCCAGTCCACGAGGTCACACGTATATGAGAGAAAAATGTCTCACTTCCGATCAGCTTTTTCTTAAACATAATTCAGTCTTATGCTTAACAATTGTGCTCAGTGTCCGGGCTCGGGTCCGTGTTGGTCAGTGTAGGAGACAGCTCAGTGGGAGTTGTAGGAGAATAGAGGATTTTATCGCAGTCAAATTCATCAAAGTAGTCCAATGAAAGGCCCCTCGTTGCTTTTGCTGCCCAATCAGGTCGAGTCCTGAGCTCCAGGATGACTTCCACAGGCGTCTTCTGAAGGATGACAGAATCAAACGAAGTGCCACGAAAAAAAGCCTGCATCTCCAGACACTCCAGGTTGCGAAGCCGGGTCACCGGATTCTTGCACAAAAGCTGCGGAGAGGATGAAATACTTTGTTAGGAGGGATCCCACCGTGCATGTAAGAAAGAGGACAATCCCATCTACAAACCTCAGAGAGCAGCCAGACCAAAGAAGAGCTTAAGGTCCCAGGTGGGGCGTAAGGGAAATCTGTGACCTTCTTCAACATGGCGGTGTGGTCCGACTCGGCTGGTAGCGGAAACTGTAAAGTGCAAAAGTAAAAACACACAGGCAGTGAACAATACAACAATTATAGCGACAGTAATATTACGCGTACGGCCCTGACCTCTCCTGTCACCAGTGAGAACAACATAACGCCAAAAGACCACCAGTCGGCCGCGTGGTTGTACGGACCCCCGCCTAAAACCTCTGGAGCTGTCCAGAGAAAACAGGAAAACAGTTATGAAGAAAAGAAAAATCAAGACCAATAGATTCAATTTAGAAAATGAAAAAGGGTTATTAAACAGATGTGGAAAAGAAATTGCATTCCAGTGGAGCAAAAATAAAACCTAAATTTCCTTACAGTTGTGTGACATTCATGACGGTGCAGCTAAAATGATGCTTTAACGCAGTCAACCAATATGCAGCATTTTCCGTATCTCAAACAGCCACAATATTTCACCCCCAAGTGGAATTAAATGAAACCAAAATCTCACCCATGTATTGGATGGTTCCACATATTGTAAACGCTCTTCCTCCTCGCTTCAGCCGCCGGGCGAGTCCAAAATCCGACAGGCGAAGGTGACCTGAATCATTGGAGATACACACTGAAACTGAAACCTGTACAATTAGTGTTGATTTTAATATTTCTCATAGTGAATAAAACTCATTGAAGGATTAAAATAACTTAAATGATTGAATCTAATAACCACCCTAATGTTTTTAGTCAACAGATAGATGGAGATACATTACCTTGATCATTTAAAAGAATGTTCTCCATCTGACAAAAAAAGTACAATTACTACCACAGGAGGTCATATATACTAATATTGAACATACATATTAAACTAAAGATAATCATACCTTTATATCTCTATGCACGATGCCTAAGTCATGAAGAAATCCTAAAAAAAAAGAAAAAACCAAAAGCCCTTAAATGAGAATACAGACATCAATGCAAGATGCTCCGTGTTTAAATCGTCCTTTAAACTGGCAAGATGTCACTACAGGTCACTGCTAACGGGCAATATGATACGCATGAACAACACTTGCCCAGCGCACTGCCAAGCTCTGCAGCAAAGAGCCGGACATCGTCCTCCCCAAACTGGCCCCTCAGTAACCAGTAAGTGTACAAGTCCCCGACGCTGCAGTAGTCGCACACTGCAAAGGACGAGACACACACACGCACACACATACACAGACAATTGTTATGTCTTTGAAAGCGGCTTAGTTCACGCAGCACAAAAGCCTCTGAAATGAAATATCTGGAATGAGAGGAATAAGATGAAACATTTTGCGGTAAGGATTGATGTTTGAGTCAAGTTTATGCGTCTGTCTCGCCTCCTGTTAGCTGAGTTGCATATTTAAACACCACTTTGGACAGATACAAATCAATGTATCCTATCAGTGGTGCAGGGTGTGCAGCTTTAGCCGGCACTCATTCGATGCCATGGTTCTTCTTCGACACCCAGCAGACATTTGCATTCACACTCAGGGACGCCGCTGTACAACAACGTAACAGTTTTATGTTCTTAAGGAGCATAACTGGAGTAGGGAGAACATAAAGAAGGACGGTTGAGGGGTTGAACTGTTTATGCTCATTGACTCACTAATGAAGAGATGGTGTTGTGTCTGCCAGCAGTCCTGCAGATTGTGGATGAACGGGTGTTTGAGCTGCCGCTGCAATTCAACAGGTGAAACACACACACACACACGCACACGCATGCGGAGTGAAAAGGAATTTAACAGTGAGACATGACGATATAAAACAGATGACGCATATGACTGTATGGAGTTCGTTCTAACACACTTGCTTTTTCACTGCAAGTCAAACATCCCTTTAAGCAGCGAGTTACGTCTCACTCATACGCCGAGTAGCCGTATTAAAATGCTTTATTATGTTCCGTTGAGCAACTTCTTTGACTTAAGTAAAGAGTTAGGGATGATTTTTCTTTTTCATTTAACGATTCATCTTCATTGATCTCAAAACATTCTGAAAAAATGACAAAGTAACATCCTTGGATGGAATATTTAAACCACCCAACAAGAACACTATACTTTACAACATACAGTATATAATTACAAAAACAAGCAGTGTATCCTTAGATTTGCTGCACATATTTGGCAATCCTTCTTTAAAAATAATAAACTGAATATCAAAATAATTCTTTCAATCAATTATCAACCAATGCAGATCTAACGTGTATATAGGAACAGTAAAGCAACAGTAGTCTTCGTCTCTGAAATCATACCTGAATGACGACTTCTTCTTTTGACTGCTCCAAGACTCCATGCTTCAAGATATTTGACTTTGGTAGAACCTACGCAACAATAGAAATGATTATGGAAAGAATTGTATGTATGTTGTTATAGAACTAATGATTGTGGTTGAACAAACCTTAACAGCATAGGTCCTTTCTTTGAAAATGTCCCTCACTTTCAAGATGGGTCCATATGAACCTTTGGCAATGAAGCCCAGGATCTGTTATTATAGAAGAACAGTTCATTTCATGTTTTCCACCATCTGCTTCTTCCATGCTGATGAACGTTCCCGTGTTTGGTACCTGGAATTGGTCTCGTGCAGGAAGTCTCCGCTGTGGGAACTCAGGCAAAAAGACGGAAATGGGAGCTGGAGGAGTGGTCTCTGTGTCCTCTGGAGGCAGGAGGGGTTTGGGGATGGAGGGCTCTGTGTCTTCTGGAGGCAGGAGGGGTTTGGGGACGGGGGACCAGCCATTCGGTCCCACCGGCTGAGAAAACACGGCCGAGTGGGCCAGTCTGTGATTGATGGAGAACCCCACGTTTGAGAGGAACCCATGACTGAGTCGACGCTGAGCAGCTGGTCCTTCTCTCTAGATGACGAAGAATTGTTTTTTATTATTTTAGACGGGTTGAATCAAACCCCTTCATCACTTATCCAATCAAATATATCCTAGCAAGTTTGTTTTTCCATTTTACCAAAATGACAAGGCAATGCTCAAAAATACATTTACAGTAAATTACTGCAAAACACCCAAAGTATCATGTTACAAAACATGTTTACATTAACAGTAACATTGTGTAATTACTTTAAAGCAAGTATGAAAAGCACAACACTTTTTTAGGCCCACCATTAAATATAACGTGTACTGTAAAGTTATTGTGGTAACTTACGTATGCCTATTCTAACATGCTTGAAAGGGGATATTAACCAAAAATAGAGATTTCTTGAAGAACTCCTTGTTTTGAAAGCAGATCTATTTATTTGTGGCTTTAAAGAGATGATTTAAGATCTTTTAATAAATAGGCTGCACGAATAGAGAATAGAAAATACAACACAGAAGCTTCATCTTTCGCGTGAACATGATTGTGGTGCAGTTTATACCACAGTAAAAAGACCAAACCTATGACACTAATTGAATGAGCTGCAGCCATTTCAAGCAGCGCTCCGCAAATCAGACCAAGCCTCTAGTGACGCTCACGGAGGAAGGAAAGTGATCACAACACATCAATACTGCAAAATTTTAACAAAACTCCAATTTGATCCAGCGGACTGTGTTGCATACAAAAAAACACAATTTCGCAGCAAAAATTGGTAGTAAAACACGTATTTTATTACTTCCCATCAGCCACATCCGGGACATCTGCGCATCAAATCTGATCCCCTCACCTTCTTCTTTTTACTGATGTCGCTGCCCATTCGGAAGCAAAAGGAAAAACAAAAACAAGAAAAAGAAGGCAAACGTTCAGCTCGTCCTCTCGCGTCCTCCTCCGTCCACGCGTCGGTTTTTTTTGGGGGGAGTTGGAGACAGAAGCGTGACGCGGAGCCGCGGGACCTCCATTGCGCTCCAGTTGGCGCTGTCAGATGCGCCATCCTTCACCCGCTTTGCGCACAAACCCAAACACGGCTGCCACACCACGAGCTTTTTTTATATTTATTTTTATTGACAGATAAACTGTTCACCACAGAGCACAGCGATGTGAATACGACGGATTTCGCCACATGATCCGTTTACATGAAATGTTCGAGGCATTTGGTTATATTTTTCTTTTCTTCTCAACAGAAATGTGACGCGAACGATAAGCTCAGCAGCAAGAAATCAATCAGGAAAAACAGACATGCTTACAAAAATATCAAAATACTTTGCATAAAAAGTGCTTTAGTAATAAAATTACAAAACATACACTCAAGTGATTAGCTGCAACGTACTTTTCATTTCCTTTGCCACAAAGCTAAAGGCGACATGGCGCAACACGTGGCGTGACATGTGCTCGTGTTGACATATTGCACTGGGGTGAGGTACAGTACATGAGAGCAGGTGAAATACTAAATATTTAGTCATCATTTTGAGATAAAAGGCCTTCCTGTCAGTGACACTCATACAGCCATTTGCGATACCTTTCGTTAGTAAAACACACACTGATATTTGTTTCTGACATTTTATAATAGTTTCCTTTAAGGGGGCTGAAGGTGCATCCTGTCGTATTTATTTGGGCAGAGATGCAGTTTTCCTGAGCCGGCAGGAAAAGGTGCTCTCAGCATTTATCGAAGCAGAGGAAAGCGAAGCGCTCGCAACACATCGTAAAGATTCCCCGCTACATTCAACGTAGCACAAGTGGTCGTGTTGTGTATGAAATGCAGAGGGAACGTTTAATGTCACACATAAACAAGTTAATTATATCTTATTTGGTCCAAAACGGCATCCTGGTAATTTATGGAACTCAATCTAACCTTTATTTATACAGGTAATCTCATTAAGACCCAACATCTCATGAGACACCTGCTTGAGTTCCAGTGGGGATTTTGGACATTAACTGTAAAACAAAAACCAGCTATAAGGATCACGGATACAGTGACGTATCTCCATCAACTATTTGAAATGCTCCACCATCTCCCTTTTTCTCTGCAGCCCTCAAAAGCCAGACTGATGTGCTGATCCCGAAGAGGCAGTTTTCCCTGATTCTCGTAGCCGGCATGCTTCGGCGGCAGCCGCCGTGGATCTCCCCCCCTCCTCCCCCGTGCGCCGACATTCGGACTCCCGCGCGCGAGTCTTCGCCGCTTCACTTTCGCCGACTGAAGATGCTCTTCTTGCCGGAGCTCTTGTCCGCGCCGCTGAGGCCGATGAGGAGCCGAGCCTTCTCGTCCTCCTCCTGCTGCTGCATGCTGGTGTCCGACTTCCCTTCGGACGCCTTCCCCCGCGGCTCTGAGCCGGAGGCCGGCTTCAGACGCAGCTTCTCCTTTATCATCTGCGCAAAGGGGAGCGAAACAAGGAGTTCATAAAAACAGAACCTTTCAAATGTTTCTGATTCTGCTCCAAGAGATTAAAAACAATAAGTGCACTGATTTAAGGGAAATTCTAAATTATAGAAAGAGGCCACACAGTTAGTGTGTGTGTGTGTTGATAATGTTGTGTACCTGTGCTACAAGAGCTTTCCGGCTGTCCCTTTTCACCGCCATGGCGAAGTCGAGCCAGGTCCAGGTATTGTTATGGTACTCCAAACAGGGCAGAACCAGGTTCAGGTCCTTCCAGTCCACACTACTCTTTTCTCCCTAAGTACAACATTCAAATGGGGCAGAACATTTATTCAACATCCCAAAAGTGTTCGCCATCATTAGTTTTTTTTCGGCCTCAGAAACGAGCTGTATTCTGTTCTCATTAATTGGAACTTGAGGGAAATTTCTAACTCGGTAGATTTTTTGCTAAATTTTCCACTGACTTCTCCAACCAGCTGCTTACATGTCTGTCTGCAGTTTCATACTGAGCAAGTACTACACAGTGGGTTCATTAAAATACTTTTTTTGCTAAGCTACTGAGAGCGGTGAGAGTGAACCACATTTTAGATTTATTTTTTCACTCCTGATCTGATTATTCATTATAGCACACCAACTCTTTTTTTAATTCAACCCTTAAAACGTGTCTTTAGTCTTCCTGCTAAAGCCAAAAGGCCACATTTAAAAAATATAAAAGGTTAATTAAGATCCAAGAAGCCAGGAACATTGTGACCTTCCACAGAGTGAGTTTTGTGTGGATCTCCTCAGCTGTATTTAGGTAACGATGTTAGGCGAGAATAATCCTTTCGGGTCTTATTTCTATTCAGAGCTGCGCAGAAAACCCACCTTATAGCTGACACACAGGGGCACTTGGGGAATCTTGACGTAGATGAAGGAGTTGTTCATGGCCGCGCGCTCCTTCATCTTATCAATGTCATCAACAGGATGCTGGTGGGAGGAAAATTATGAAACGTAAAATCAATCATCTTTGTTCCCCCCCCCCCCATTCCTCCCATCTGAGCACCGATATTCAGAAAGCACAAATACCTCTGGCGGTTTCCTGAACGACCTCCTGACCCCCGCAGTGCGGTTCAGTCCCTGGGCGACACCTTTGCTGGGGCCCATAGCACCCATAATGTCCTCGGATGACTGCCGAGGCTTGACAGGGATACCTGTGACACAGATCGCATCAGCACCGTGGCCTCTGCACCCGACACCCAATACTCCCACTGGGCATTTCTCTCTCACACAGACACCTCAAGGTCAAACCCAACATTACAAAGCCTTTTAATAGCTAAGAGGGATGACACAGCACAGTAATGGGCTATTTGATACAGCACACACACACACACACACACACACACACACACACACACACTTGTCAGAGAAAATGGACACTATTATTGATCGGTTAGTTGTTATAGAGCACACGTTGGTGACCCCACAGAGAGAACGCAGGCTGAGGGCTTCTCAGTTTACTGCTGTCATACTGCTAACGACAACATACCTGTAGTGACCAATCTGAACTTGTCCTCTTCATCGGTCACCTCTTCCTCTTCAACATTTCTTCCCGGGAAGAAAAATCCCATCATCCTTTTGAAGAACTGGTACATCAGCTGGATGGTGAGAGGCACCACGTTCACCTGATGATTGAAGCACATCCATCAAATTAAAAGACGATACGGGCGCTTCTGGGAACGTGGGTGCGCGTGCACCTGAAGGTCATCACCTCAAAGTGCTCCTTGACAGAGATCCCTCCCACAGGGGGGCGCACTTTACTGAAAATACGCAGGGCAAACTGGCGTCCAGACTGGCAGTTACTCTGAGGACGAAGTACAACCTGTAACATAAAGAGGGAGTAAATGCGACAATCCCCAAATAAAGCTGGAAAACTCAAGATTCTCTGTGGAAATCCTACTTTGATGTCAGTTTGACTTTGAACAACACACACTATTGATGAGATGAACACAGTATGGACAACACCACCAAGTTGTTCACACATGCATCAAGGAATCCTTGAGTTTACATGCAACACAGAGTATGAAAGTCTGAAGATGGAGTCAACACAGACGTCAAGTCTTGTCACGGTAGGAGCACTGTACATACCCTCACACGCTGCACAGAGGAAACCAGGCACAGTCAGAAATAGTGCACAATGTTGGCTTTTTGGAAATACATGAGCATGTTTTTCAACAAAGTCACTTCATTTTTGTTTTGTAAATAAAAGGCAGGGTTGGTAATCTTGAAGAAACTATCAAGCGTACAGTAGATTATAAATATGGACAGATCGCCAACTGTTTTACACTGAGATTATCTATCAGCACTAAAGATGCTAAATCTTGCGGAAAAGTCGGAGTATCAGAAAGACACTCCTTCAAACGTCATTTCTGTCAAGATGCAACAAGAGCTTCAACAAAAATGACAAAACTACTTTAGATTACCAACCCTGCCTTTAAGGCGAATATGAATTTGCTCGTCTGAGTGAGGAGAGAGAAATGTACCTTGTATGCTGCATTGGGCAGGAGGTTGTTCATCGTGAACCAACCTAACTCTAACAGATGCTCGGCCGTGTCGTCAGACTTGTTTAGCTGTGGTAAGAAAGAATCAACATCAACATTCCCCTTCCAGCAGTGATTGATTAACTAAATTAATAAACCAGTGTGAAGAGTGACACATCATAGGATATAGTGGTGCAAATTGTGTTTTTGCAGTAAATTATCTAAATGATCCAATGATGGTTCTTCACATTTTTACCAAAGGTCAAATATTAAAAGGGGAACATGAGAGGAGAAAATGTATAATTTGGTGGGAAGTCCGGTAAGTTTTCCCACGCTGGATGGCCAATGAGAAGTGATTCCGCTGTCCCGTCTGCAGTGCTTACCTTACTGTACATAAACCTCTGCAGCTCCAACTCGGCGATGCCAAGCTGGCCGTCTTCTTCGGTCAAACACCAGCGGGCCTGGGCGAAGTAGATCTCGGTCCTCCTCACCACACTCACATCCTCTGGGGGCTTACGCAGCTCCAGCTTATTTGCCCGTTGCAACTGAAAGTCCTTAAAACACCTGAAAGAGGGAGCGGATTATACATTCCTTGAGCTGTGCGGTAAAGCTTGTCAGTATTTAACGCGAGTGAGTGTGGATCTGAGACCTGATGAGAATGTTGAGCTCTTCACTCTTCATCTGCATGTCGTTCTTCTCCTGATTGAGCTGGTTTTGCAGTCTTGTGTTGATGTCCATCAGTTCATCACCGCTTAGGTCTTCGGATTGTGCCTGCAATTGCAATTAGAATTTACATTTTCTTTTCCCCCCACATAAACTCTATGTTGCAATTAAAAGAGTAACGCACTAAATCCATTACCCTGATGTTGGAGTAAATCTGTTTCTCAAGGCGTCTAATCAGGGCAAGGTGCTGCCTCACTGCCTCCTGGAGGTGCAAGATGCTGCTCCGCTGCTCTTCAGGGTTACTGGAAATCTCCAGCTGGAAACGCACACGCTGCTTCTTCTCACTGTGTTCCTACATGTCCAGGAGATTGGAAAAAAACACAAACACAAACGCACACACATGAGTCAGGAGGAAACATCGCTAAGGACTCCTTCTTAAGGT